GTCATCAAGCAAGGGGGAAAAGCCGATCGATTCACCATGCAACATGGAGACCTATCAACTTTCGAGGGACAAGTTGAATTGATCAAAACAATCATTCGAAAACGACCAAAGAACATATGGATGGCCCCCGAATGTCACCCATGGTGTGCATGGAATAGATTCAATGCATCAAAAAGCACAAAGCAGTACATGACCATCCAAAGGTCTAGAAGGGAATCACTGATTCATTTGCAATTGTGCTCTTTCATTTGCAAACTGCAAGTTGATGCTGGCCGACATTTTCACTTGGAGAATCCAGGCACCTCAGATCTGTGGAAGCAGGCACAAGCTCAACCATTGATTCGCATGACTAAGTCAATCCACCTTGACCAGTGCAGATTTGGTTTGATACACCCGGAAGATTCGAGACCCCTGAAGAAATATACTCGTGTTCAAACCACATCAAATAGCATGGTGAGAAACTTAGATGGAAGAATTTGTCAAAAGAATCATGAGCACGCACAGATTTCTGGGTCTTGCAAATTCCAAGGAAAAAGGATTGCCCTTTCAAGATTCGCTGCTTTCTATCCACGGATGTTAGCTAAAGCCATGGTAAGGGGGATAATCCATGAAGTCCAGCCGTCAGTCATTCCGATATATCCTGTTGAAGAAGTCCTGGAACCACAAGCCAAGAGGATTCGCACGCAGTCACCACGAGTCGTTGCAGGCCAGGACACCAATCGGAAAAGAGAACATGAAAAAGAAGATGAAGAAAAAGAAAGTCAAGAAGAGTTGACAGATGAACTATGGAAAGGGATTTTCGAATGGTGTCAAAATCACTTGCCGAAATCAGGAGCTCAGGATTTGTCCATTGAGTCTTGGGTAGGTCAAGCAATCTGTCTGCAAACGACCATATCGCATGTAAAGCAGATCAGAGCCGGAAAAGGTTTTGACAAGTTCTTGATCGGAAATAGTGAACATCCCATTCGACAGACTGTTTGCATGTGTAGGAAAACAAAGAAGATAGTAAATCTTGGTGAGGAACGGTGGACAAAACTAACACTGCAGAAACAGAGAAGAAACGCCATTCCAAGTCATATCATGATCGCCATATTTGGAACAACCGAGTCAGAAGAAGCAGACAGTTCGACCCGCCAAGAAGTTTTGAAGCCAAGTACCATGCCTGTGTCGCCAGAGTCAAAGCAAGAAATTGCAGTTCCAGAGAGTTCGGAAAGGGAGATAGCAATGTCACCCACTCCGGATTTGCCAGTTCCCGCATGGACACCGCAAGCTGTTAGCAATTCAGGATCGAAATTCGAGCAGCTGCAAGCCTTCCAAAAGACATTGATTCGTAGAACACATAATAATTTAGGTCATCCTACTTCGCAGAAGCTGTCTGAGCATTTAAGAAGAGCAGGCATGTCCAATGAACTAGTGGAAGGAGCTGCCGAATATCAATGTCCGTCATGCACCGAAAGAGTACCACCCAAGCTCACCACCCCAGGCAAGTTAAAGGAAGCTAGAGAGTTCAACGACAAGATCTCCATCGATGGTTTTGAATGGAAGAATGAAAAAGGGCTCAAAATGTATGTGATTCATATATTTGATGAAGCCACTCATTACCATTTGGGGAAGAGAATAAGTCGATCAGCTGAATCCACAGAAAAAGCAATGTATGAAAATTGGTTTAGCTGGGCCGGACCACCAAATGAAATATGTCATGATGAAGGGGGAGAATTCATGAGCCAAAGGTGGAAAGACATGTTGCAAAGAGAGGGAATCAAACCAACCGTGAGCGCAGCACCATGGCAGAGGGGAAGAATTGAAAGACATGGAGCAGTCATCAAAGAAATGTTGAACCGAATAAATCAGGAAAAAGAGATTGAAACAAATGCCGAATTCGATTATGCTCTATATCAATGCTTCCAAGCCAAAAACTCCATGAGTGTAAGTAACGGATATAGTCCTGAACAAGCAGTACTCGGTCGAGCAAGACGGTTGCCAGGGTCGATATGCAATGATGAAGATAGTATAACACACTCCCTAGATAATCCAGAAGATACCCGATCTAAGGATTTTCAGGAACGAATGCAGATTCGTACTCTTGCAAGAAAAGCACTGCTCGATGCCGACAACAGCCAAGCAATTCGAAGAGCGATGCTTCGACAATCCCGAGGACATGAACATGACTGGCAATTAGGAGAACTCTGCATGATTTGGGACAAAAGAAAATCACCCAATATGATAGAAAAAGGGAGATGGGTAGGACCTTGTCAAGTAATTATGCATGAGGGTAGAACAATCATTTGGGTCACACAAATGAATCGCCTCCTTAGAGTTGCCAGAGAAAACATGCGACCCGTGTCCTTGAGAGAATTCCAATCCCGAAGCCAGTTCAATCAATCTGCCAGTGAGAGTCGACTTCAAGAAATGGCTCAGAAACTGAAGGAAAGCTTGAAACAAAGAAGTGGAATGTTTCAATATGTTGACCTCAGTGAACCTAGAACGGAAGAACAGACTCATCCTACTGAACGTGAAGCACAACCTGAAGAAGAGCCGCATCGAAGAGACTCGAATGCCGATTCGCAGCACCGACCAGAAATCTCTGGAGAAAATGCAGAACAGAGCAATCCAGGTGCTGAAGACACGGCTGCCGAAGTGCCAACAGGGTCAGATTATGGGGGAATACATAATCCAGAAAGTGAGCAAGTAGGGGATTCGTTAATGGTGCATAATGCATTCATTACAGAAGTCAATATAGCCGGTACAGAAAGTGTCTTGGATGAGGGTACTCTGTGGAGTAAAAGGGAAAATCACGAAGACACCAAGGCTGATTTTTGCAAGATTGAATTCGATGTACCTAAACAGCAATTGACAAGATTTCTCATGAACCCATGCCTGCATGCAACCGAAATAGCAAAAGCTGCCAAAAAGACACATACTGAGGTACAGTATAGCCGATTGACCAAAGAAGAAAAACAAAGATTTGATCAAGCAAAACGCAAAGAAATGAACTGTTGGCTTGAAACAAGTGCTGTCGTGCCGATCTTGAAGAATAGGATCCATCCAAGCCGGATCATGTCACCCAGGTGGATATTAACTTGGAAAACAGATCCAAATGCAGCTGACGGGCGAAAACCTAAAGCCCGAATTGTAGTAAGAGGATTCGAAGATCCCGAACTTGCTACAGTATCGACTGAAAGTCCGACACTGTCCAGAGATGGACGAATGGCAGCACTGCAGACAATTGCCAGCAAACATTGGCAATTGCAATCGTTCGATATCACCACGGCCTTTTTGCGAGGACGAAGTGATGAAAGACAGTTAGCAATGACTCCCGTACAAGAACTAAGAGAACTCATGCATTTGAAATCAGAAGAAGTCTGTTTACTGAAAGGAAATGCATACGGAAGAGTTGATGCCCCACTATTGTTCTACAAAGAGTTTCGTCGACGACTAGAAGAACAAGGATTTGAAGCACACCCCATGGATGGTTGTTTATTCTTGTTGAGAAATCCCACCAACCCCAAGATCTTGGAAGGGATACTAGGAACACATGTAGATGACGGAATAGGAGGTGGAACCAAGTTCTTCGAGGAAGCTTTGGAAAGACTGCAAAAACACCTGCCTTTCGGAAGTCGAGAATATCGGAAATTTCGATTTACCGGACTAGACATGGAACAAATGCCAGACTTTTCAATAAGGGTAAGTCAAGAAAACTATGTAATGAAAATAGACCCAATTGATGTGCCCAAAATTCGAAGAAAAGAGACAGAAACACCAGCAAACCCACATGAAGTGCAGCAACTTCGAGCATTGTGCGGAAGTTTGCAGTATGCCGCTGTCCACTCCCGGCCAGACATGGCTGCAAAGGTGGCTTTCCTTCAAAAGCAGATTTGCAAGGCAACAATCGCAGACTTGCTGGAAGGAAATCGAATACTGAATGAGGCAAAAGAATTTGCTTCAACAGCAATCTATGTTCGTCCAATTCCATTGGAAGAAATAACATTTGCTAGTTTTGCTTCAGAAAGTAAACTAAAAGCACAGCAGGGTTTGTTTATAATGGCATGCACAAAACGGTTGCAAGAAAACAAAGCGTCAGATTTCACTCCAATAGCTTGGAATTCCAAACAAATTGGTCGAGTAGTTAGATCTACTCTAAGTGCCGAAGCATATGCTATGTCCTCGTCACTTGACAAACTCACATGGATTCGTTGTCTTTGGAGTTACATCCATGACCCAAAATTTCAATGGTATAAGCCGGAAGAAGCTTTAAAGAATGTTCCCAAGGCACTCTTGATCACAGACTGCAAAAGTCTTTATGACTTAGTCACTAAGCTTGCAGTACCAAACTGTCAGGAGTGGAGAACAACCATTGAAGTGATGTTGATTAAGGAACAAGCCGGAGAACATTCGACATGCCGCTGGATATCCACAGCTATCATGCTGGCCGATGCTTTAACGAAGCCCATGGACTCAACGTTCATGCGTCGTGTCCTTCAACTAGGTCGGTTCAGAATCTACGATGAAGAAGGAACGCTCAAGCATAATGCAAATCGCAAATATGGCAAAACATGCTGGCTGGAACCAAACACATTCGAACAGAGAAAAGAAAACGAATGTGAATCCAGTGGAGTCGGAAGGCAGGGTTCCTTCGAATGTGTCCCATCGCAATGACGATGGCTCAAGGCACCAACAGGCTGGCATATGGAAAAGGCGTGGCCGCCTTGCTGGAGGGGATAGGATTTGATAGGACTGTAGGTTTGGTAGATCCCCTGAAGGAATCGTTACCAGTGGGACTGCATAGCAGTCACATATATTTGCATATATATATTGTCACAAAGACCAATGTAGACTCTTGATTGATATCCCCAGCCATTTGAATTGAAAATCCTCATATGGGGGGTGTATTGATCATTATATAGGATCAAAAAGGCATTGGCTCTAGTCCTCCGCAACCTCGCAGCGTCGCCAGGTATGGCATCCCTAAGGAGCACATCACCTATGTGACCTCCCTACTGATGCCCATGTGTCTCAGATCAAATGAGTCACAACGGGGATGGCTAAAGTGAGTTATATATGAGCTTCACTGCTTGTGAACAAACTATGGAACAAAGTGAGTTATATATACATAATTGCCATGGCCACCCTGACATTGTTTTTGGCAGTATGGTTTTGGTGTGCAGATTAGTTTGCAAATGGAGCTACTGACCAGTTTTTTTGCTTCCGGGTGAGCATTTGACAATCCTGCATGACTCAAACCAAACTCTGTTTTTCAAGTTCGATACTTGTAGAACGTTGTGTGAGCTCCGAAAACCACCCTGTGAGCTGGTAGGCCAATATGCCAGTCCAATGCCAGTCGTGTTGAAGATGTCGGTTGAATTGCTCCTCCCACGAGGGTCATCCTGTCCCAGTTGCTTGATGTGGCTGTTTCGGAACTCAACCCCACCAAACCATGCTATAGCCTGATCTATCGGAGTCATGACTGAGGAATCATGAGGAATCTGTTCTGCCATGACCTGGGGGTCAAGCAGGGTGCCCAGGTGCCATGACCTGGGTGCCCAGGTGCCATGACCCACCACCCATTGTTATGATCTCTTATGTCCAAGCCGTCCCTGCTCGAGAGCAGTTTCTCCCAGACGGCCCATGATGCCGAAGAATCCAAAAGGTGAACTGCAACGGCGAACAGCCCGGTTGGTGGTTGCTACCTCAGAGTTGGTTCGTCCAAATCGCTGCCATGATCACACCATTTGGTGTTGTCCTGATCGTCAACCGTATTCCACCGTTCAATAGTGTTCGATAACATAAACGAATCATGGGAGCATCCGTCCACGCCCAAAAAAACCAACGGCCTTTATTTTTTTCGTTCATGCAAACCCGAGCCCGCACTGCACTCTTCCTCCTCTTCCTCTTCCAATTTGACCTCCAGGTCCAGTGGTTTTCTCAGCATCCTCAGGTACATCATGATCCCCATCGTGGCTGCCCGCTGGACCGGTGGCGCCAGACCTTTGCAGCTGGCCTTCTCCGTGTATCCGTTGCGCCTGGCCACCGGGCCTTTGTGCCTGGGACGAAGAACTGGGGACCGGACAAGTGGGGACGAGCGCGGGCTCGGGCGTTGCGCTTTTGTGGCGTGGCGTGTCGCGGTGGGGTGAAAGACCAACGGGACCAACGGGACAGAAGGAAGCATGTGAAGGTTTAGCATGTGAAGGTTTAGCATGTGTGTTTTTCGAGTGTGTGTTCTTTTTGTTTGCCAGAGACACCCGGAATCCGAGATGGAGAGGATTGAGAGCGACGACGTGGAAGTGTCAATGGTGTCCCTGCGCAATGAAAATAGAAGTATAGTATTTAGTATTTGGTGGAACCGGGAAAATGGGTTGAACCCTCCAATAGTCATGTGGACATAGTGGTATGTGTTTACGTGTTTGCCCATGTGGAATGATGTTTGCTTGTGTGGTCCAATTAATTTCACCAGCTGCTTGATAGGGGAAAGTTCTTCATTACTTTGGTGGTCAGAAGTATGTGTTCAGGCTTAAAGATTTAGGGCATGTTCCATGTCCTAGTCCTATTAGTCAAGCTGCAAAAACCAATGTTATTTTGTTTTGGTCCAGGAAACTGAGCCAAAACCATGGAAACTGGAGACCCTTTGGGCGAGAGCTCTAGTTCTTCCTGAAATCCTCAGGAGGAAGCCATGCAAATACCCAGCGATTTCAAAGACAACTGTAGAGGTGACCAACACCCCTTGCTCCTTGTGGTTATTAGAATCAGCCGCGTGCAGAACGGGCTTGGCCCGTAGAACGGACTGCCCAGGACTGCGATCTTGGCTTTCTACACCCCTGCCTCTGTCTCTCCTATCCCTTGGACGCTCGGACTGAGAGTCCCAGTGACAGTTCCAACCGTCCCAGTTCCAGCGTCGTGGTGTGGCCGAAAAGCGATGACAACTGATGTGACCCTTTGTGTGGTGCCCCAGCCATGTTTGAGCCACTGCCATTTGATGGGCTCACAAACCGAAGAAGCAATGTGAATTGGCAGGGTGATTGGTTCTCTTTAGATAGATGCTGTAGATAAAGATACCACGTATTCCACGTGACCACACCGCGACCCAGTCCGTTGTCGCGAAAAAACGCACCGCCCCGCACTTACTTCAAGAGACATCCAGAAGGGATGTTCATGGGTTTTTCTGCCATGCCGCCTAAGATGCCCAGTGGTTTTCTTGCATCTCAGCGAGCTTCCAAACATGCTACCACTACCCGCTCAAGAATATGAAACCGATCCGCCATGTGTATGTTTTTGCACTTGCAGGGAAAAGAACGTGTTCTTGGTTTTGTATTTTCTTCACAATAGTAAACGTCCATCTACTCTCCAAAGCAAGGATCTTCTACACTCTCCTGGTCTTTGTCATTGCCGCCGCCGCCACCACCTCAGCCACCTGACTGCGATTTCATAGTTGGATCGATGCTATTTGAAGCTTCAATTCACTTTCGTACCAGGACCTTCCAACAGACCCTCAGAGGTGGTCGCAAGGAAACACCGATCTGGTCACTGGGAAACAGGATCGAACGGAGCATGGATGTGGCTCGACAAAGGTCAACACATACCCACCCTAGGGATCCAAGTAGCTCCTCAAAAGGTACTTGGACCCTCTTGGCACCCACCCCAGCCCTCACTGAGTAGCTTCTCAGAGGTTACTTGGATCCTTATATAAGGCCAAGGATCGGTTGGATGAGTTGGGTTTAGGGCAAGCAACTCTTCTCCAAGAAACCCAGGCCCCTACTGATTCCTGTTATAACACCTGGCAGTATACGTAGGATTGGCAGATATAACGGGGAAGACTGGAGAACCTCCAGACAAATATCTCTCAATTTTTTGAACCCTTTCTTGAGAAGGCTCAGCCTTAGACTAGAAGCCACAGAAAACTATGTTCAACTACAACCCATCCTGCACTGTACCTAAGACTGCAGGACGAAACTCATCCATAGCTTGCAGTTGCCAGAATTCAGTATTCTTTGATGCAAGAACTCTTGCACCACCCGGAACCAGCCGGAACCATGCCGCAAAATCGCAGGGTTAAAAACAGAAACACTACGTGTAAGGAGTTGATGTTCGTGTCGCAGATGGCCTTCTTCGCACACGTGAGCGATCCAGCCTTGGGTGGCACCTTGGGCGGCACATGGAGGCTGGCAGCATGCGGGAGCGGCAGCATGAAGTTTTGGAGCGGGGAAATCCGGGAGCGGTGATGACTGTGGTGATTGGAGACATTTGGGGACAGAGGTTGCGAGCAATTATGCCTGCCTGACCAGTTGGTAGGTCACAAAACAGGTAGCTGATGTTGGATGAGGAAAGAATTCCTGCACCATCCCAGTCAGTCCCAGAAATCCTTTCATAGCTCAGATCTTCGCAATGGGGTGAGGACTGATGCAGCAGTTCTGTGTCCTTCTATCTAGATAGATGCGCCACCAAACCAACAGCCCAGCTCAAACCAGTCCCACTACTTTGCACTTCCCCACTGCTTCGGTGCTTCTGTTCTTCTGCCCATCTGAGTTTCCCATCGCTCCCAATGGACCGTTCGCTCACGCGGGGGAAAAACAGGGGTTGAAGCCGACGGTGTTTCGACCCACATAATGTGGGAAGTATGCGTGCATTCGTAAACCGTTAGATGGGGAGTAACCCTTTTTTCTTGTGATGGTACATCAATGTGAATCTCATCATCTCTACAGATTATTGAGGATCCAGTGTCACCTCTAGACAAGGGGTTTGGCGATGTGAGGGAAGCAGTTGCATTATGGTCCTATACTTTTCTTGGTCAACACGGTGTGCCTTAAATCCCTGCTTTGCCCCTCAATACCGGCCGGGGAGGGGGTTTCACGCACAGGAGGGAAAGGCCTTGCACACTGAGGATTCGCTGAACATCCTTCCTCGATTCCTTCAATATCCCTACCAAATTATGATGTATCAGGGCAACAAATCCCCCTCAAGAGTATTCCATTATCCTCAATAGAAACAGGATCCAGCATGATCTAACAGTAAATCTCAATGTTGTTTCGTCACTTGGGTCAGGTCATCCAAGCGTTTATAACCCCTGTTAAACATTCTTAAGCCATGTCATTTCCGGGGGGCATTGACCACTGAGGTACATATATGACCTTGCTGAACACCATGGGCAACCTCGGTGGCCGCTGGCCGCCCACTGCCGCTTTCTTCTTGGTGGATGTCGCTTGGTCTACCGGTCTACCAGCCACTGGTAACCATAGTCACCTTAGTCTGAAAGGCACGCGCGGAAAGCACACCCGCCCCGGTCAAGAAACATGACGCTCGACATGCTGGTCGATCCAAAGAGTTGACAAGACATGCTGTCGACCGATGTGTGTCGTAGATCGATGTGGTGACCGCCCCGCCCGTGTCAGACCGCCCCCACAGGGTCCAGACCGCCCTGACAGGGCCGCCGTAGGGGCTTTCTTGCCCGGTCCGCAGGTCTTGAGCTGCGAGAGTGAGAGCTGCTGGATGAAGATGGATGGCTTCTATACGGTGACCTTTCTGTGACCCGGACTGCTTTCTGATTGACCGAATCCATATATAGGACTGGAGGGGTCATGACCTAGGACTGGAGGGGTTATGTTCATGGGGTCAATGTATGTACAGTATAACTATTCTACATGGATGGTCTGGGGATGGATGGCTTCTCTCATCTTCTCTCCAGATTCATAGGGCTTGATGTGGGGAGAGTCGCCAACCGGCGTCCCAGCCGACTGATGCTGAGACCCCCAGAAGGACTTTTTTCAAAGCAGAGGTCATGTTTGGGTTCGATAGGGATCCATTATGATCTGAACTTCTGAACTGTACTGAATCAGGGTTGGTCTACCCCCCGCAAACTAATCTGGAACCTGAGAATTCATCGATAGAAGACCATTTTCCGCCTTGACGGACCGGGTCTCCCCGGTCCCGGTCGATGTCGGCGGTCCTGATGAGACTGGAGACTCGTGAGGTTCGTTAGTCTGTACCAGGACCGAAACCAAGTCCGGTGGTTTTTGGACATCCCTTAAGCTTATATAACCTCTAAGAAGCCATTGATAAACACCTCTTGGTGTTGGTCCTGGTAAGTAGAAAACATCTCTGCGAGGTGGAAACTGAGAGGAGGGGTCAAGCACATGGTCCTCTCGTGCTGTCTATAGGTATTGCTGTTCCTTACCTGCATGATCCACATAGTGTCCTTTTCCATAGAACATCGCTCAGGTCACCCCACGTATCGCTCACCTAGGTGTACGATCATTGGGCTGATTTGGCTTGTTTGCACGAGGAAGATGATCGAGGATCTGCAATCGCGGAAGTTACAGGAGTGGAAAGTGGCGCACACCGCCTAGCTGCAGCTGGTTTCGCTGAGGAGAAAGGCTCACACCGCCTATAGATCCAAAAGAGGCGCAGACGTGCGCAGGCTTGGTGGGCGCAAAGCTAGGTGCTGTACAGAAATTCGGCACAGGCTTCAGTCGAGTTCAGACGACCAGCCCTGTGAGGTGCTTGAGAGTGCTTGGAAAGATCGTGCTTGGGAGTGCTTGGGAAACAAAGGATATTGATCAAATCCCCAATACCAGGACCTTCTAACAGGTGGGTGTTTTTGACACCCCTTAACCTCTAAGAGGCTGTTCATATAGACACCTCTTGGTGTTGGTCCTGTCATCGACGCGATCAGCTGGACGGCAAGACGTATGACTTCCAGTCGTTTCAGTGGCGCTGTCAGGTTCACCCCGAGGCCGGTAGTGGGTCGGTGAGCCCCATCTTCCGACACACCGGTGCCATGTCGGCAATGCCCCCAACCACCACCTCGCAGCGCGCGGACCTTGTCTGGGTGAAGGGGCACCGACCGGTGGATCACCGTCCAGGGCCCAAAAAGGATCGCTGTAGGCCTGTAGGCCTTCCGTCTCACTGAGAAAGTACTGATGCCAGGGGTGGTGTGCTTCGTCCCCAGTGGATGTGACCGGGGCACCCGGCCCAAACACTCCGTGCACCACCTGAGCTCACTCCGGGTGGACGGATGTGCGCGGACTCTCCCAACGAAGTGAACGAATGTGGAAGTGGATGGCACCCCCTGCTTGTAAAGGAAGGAACGTCTTCCAAGAGACCATTTTCATCCATGCTTCCACTTCCATTGTCAGAGTGTAACAGCTTTCTTAGTCCACCTTGCTGTGACAGGAGGTCAAGAAGTTCACCCGGCCAGCCTGCCACGCACCCAGGGTGAAGAACATTTGCTTGGAGAAACAAACTTAAACACAATCTGAGTTTGTCAGGTACAGATGGCCTGGTTACCTGTTCCAAAGGTGAATGAACACCGGAGCAACTACACTCCCACACAGACATTCGCCTTCAGCCTCCATCTGAAGAGTGTGAAAGACGGTTGTTCCAAAAAAATGGTCTAGACTCAGAAACCAGAAGAGCCCCTAGACTCACACAGAAGAGCCCAAGGTGAGCCCTCCTTGGTCGTCCATCCGGTTCTCCTGTTAGCCCATGTTCTACCGGGTCCACCCAGCAAGGCGTCCGGTGACCCTCAGCAGCTTCCTTCACCCAGCTCCACGCGAAGCGAGGTCGACGTGTCGACGAAGCCCAGCGAGTCGGAACCGCAAAACAAGCGCGCAGCGCGCCGCGGCAGCGCGCCGCGGCAGCGCTCTGCGGCGCTTTATGCGGCGAGGGTGCTTTTTGGCCGAGGTTTAGGCACCAAAACCAGGTTCAGAATTCAAGGTCCTTTTTTTGGGGGGGGTCCAAGCAGCCTGAATACTAAGAGCGCCACTTGAAACCGATAGATATGTGTGTGTGTGTTCACTTAGGCTAGCTCAAAGATTCTCCTAAGGGGGCTCATAGAATCTAGACACATATCGCATGGAGTGTGAGTTACCCAATCACAACATCCACCAGAACCCCCTGGGCTCTCGGCACGGGAGCATGTGTCAACTAGTGACCAGTACTAGTCACAGTCAGCGATACTGCATTTCTTCGTTTCCGTTTGTTGGTTGGAGGAGCGTGTTTCTTCGCATAGAAACCGTTGTGCAGGTGTTGCAATGGCAACTCGAGCATTTGTTGTTCACTCCGGGATTGGCTGTCCCATGCGAGGTTGGGAGTCTCGGATCTCTCAGCCCCACGCCTTGGTTCCCTATGGTTGTCACATGGGTGTGAATGGGGAGACTGAGGCCAGACTGCTCGAGGTCCCGAACCAAACCCCAGGGTGTCCCTATATTGGATCCGCAGACCCTCGACACGTATAGGGCGGGTGATGTGTGCCCGTTTTCGGGCGGCGCCAGGAGGGTCTAGAGGGACCCGGGTGGAAGGCAGTGGATCGAGGGCAAGGTTGATCCCATCATGGAAGTGGGTCATGGCACCCTGGTGGACTCCCCATGATATGTCGTAGATTCCTCTATGTCATCCCATGGTATACACCTCCAGGATTGTTCTGAGGCGCGTATACACCATGATTCCAGGATTGCGACGCTAGACCTCCCCATCTTCTTTGGTGGAGGTCAGTGGTGACAGTCCAGCCACAGATGTGCGCCTCCAGGAGACGGAGATGAGCTCGGTGGTGCCTACGGTGCCCAAGGTGAGGGCCGGGGCCGGGGTGGGGGGCGCCGGGGGCCTGGCTCCGTTCGGACTGGAGGTGGAGAGCTTGGGAAGTTCAATGGAGAAGTTGGGAATCTCACACCAAGAAAGCTCTTGGTGGTCAATGAAGATGTGGCATGTAATGAATTTTAATGATATCCTTTTTTGGAAGCACGTCCAAAGCATCATCCTCCAGTGTTTCGGTGAGTAGCATGGATAGAACATGAAAGATGAGTTTTCATGTGAGTATCGACCTAAAAGGGTCTGTGCACAAATCTTTATGTAAGAGGAACTTGTTTATTGAAATCATCCAAAAACCTGTGAAGCGATGCAGTGAACCCCGAAAAGCGATACCTTCACAATGTACACGGCAATCATGTCCAATCATTTTCTTCAATCATTTGATGTGTTTTTTTTGCGTTGCATGAAGCGATACTAAAGCGATACCCCTGGATGATCAAAATGTGGTCTAGATGAGCGGATCCCCCTTCGTATCATGTCGTATCATTTTCACAGTGCCTGTGGAGTCTGACGCAAATGAAGAGCTCTAGAACAAGAACCGCAAATGAAGGGGAAAGTGTATCTCTCTCTCTCTTATTTATTTTTTTTATTTTGTTTGTTTGTGTTCTATTTTTGTCGTTATTTCTTCGTTTATGTTTCTTTCCGTTTTTTGGTGCACTTCACTTTGGCTATGTGTTCAAGAGAAATCCTCAATAAATATGACAAAGGCATCCAACACTATAAAGCGATATAGCGAACCCCCAAAAGCGATACCAACATATGGAGTTTACCACATTTTATGATGGGTTTTGTGATCGCTCATATCCAGTGGCCTTTTTATGATACATGATCATACGACAGTGGGTTGAAATGGTTAAACATTTGTATAGCCTCCAAAACCTTAATGCTAATGCGAAACGACAGGACGAAAGATCACTACCCTATAAGCCTGATTTTGTTGACCCATACCGTACCCGACCTACCTATATCCCAGCACTCTCCCCAGCACTCTCCACTCGATCAGTCATTGCCGGTGACAAGTTCAGTGCCCAGTTTCACCTCTAGCCACCATTCATTTTATACTGTTGCACTTAAAACCACATCAACTTTAAGAAATGGTCTTTGATGGTCTTTGATTTCCAGGACCCCGATACAGCCATACTTGCAGGGTCCCAGTAGAGATTTCATCTGAGCAGCGGCTTTCAGACGAGTGAAGGGAGTCGGAGTCTGCATGAAGCATTTTGCCGGTGCACGAAGATTGGTGAGGAAGCACGTAAGCACGTCTCTCGAAACGCGAAGCGAACAGGGCATTTGAACGAACTCGTTTCTCAAGGTCAAGAAGTCCTGGCCGTCACCAGACACCGAGGCGCGTAACGCGAAAGACGTGTCGTCTTAAGCAACGTGTCGTCTTAAGCAAGCCAACAACAAACAACACCAGCCAGCACCACGGATTTTTGGGTGGCTTCTGGAAAGAACATGTTAACATGCATAGACAGAAGGTGTCTTTTGATGTACCTATCACTTCTCAAGCTTTTCACAGGCCTTTACACAGTCCCTCCGTGTTTTTCGGCGCAGGACGAGACTGAGGGTGAGGAGTCTCCTGAGGGCGCCGCGAGCAGAGGTGAGCTCCGATCGGCTGCGATCGGTTCCTTCTTGAATTACGACACAGAGTCAAGGAGTTGAGTCTCAATGAGCATGCCAGAAGATGAAGAAGGATTGACATCGGGGTTCACCGGGTTTCAGTTGGGCCTGGAACGCTCTTTCCAGTTGAACACCCTGGTGATGCATCACCGGCAACCGGACCGCCTCGGGTTCCTAAGCCAACACCGCAGGGGGTTCGTTGAAATCAAGGAACGAGAAGTGGAGAAACCACCCATCATTTGTGGATAAGTCCCAGTCGGCAGACAGGTGGATGAGAAGAGAGAATCAGAATGACCAATTGCCAAGTATTTTTCAATACGTTGGTCACAGTATGTATGTTCTTTCTTTAGAGGATCGTTTTCAAACTCTGTGGGAGCATGAAAACTCACAGGAAGCTGTGTACGGTAAACTGTCATGGTAAACCCTAAAAAGAACAGTGTAAGCATCACCCGATGGCATGCTCGTGGCGTGCTCCATGCCATGCGTCGAGCCAATGTGTCACATAAGTGCTCATTCGGAGTTGCCTCTGGGGCGTCGTCAAATGGCACCCGATGGAGATGATCAGATGAGCTTCAATTGGTGGTTCAGTCCGCTTCGGCATGTGCCCTTCGAACAAGAATCAGCCATGGACAAGCTGGAAGGAGTAGATGAGCATGTCTCAAACGCAATGGAACAAACAACTTATCAACCTTCAACAATCGGTGGTCAATAAAAAAGACTGGATGAGCCATGGCCCAGGGCCCTGGGGGGTGTTCTTAGGGGGTTCGTTGAGAAGGAACAAAAGCCCATGACTCCTACCTGGGATTGTTCGGCCTTCTCATCCTATGAGAAGGAATCCTGCTCTGCCTTTGGTTTCTGGGCTTCGCTAGGTGTCACAGCCAGCGGTGCTGACACGACCGTGGTAGACACAGCCGGCAGCAAGACCAGCAGGCGCGTCGATGCTGCTTCGAAGGTTGACGTTGGAGAATGCGAAGATGGTTTGATGGAGGGATGGGGTCGACCACTCAAACTAAGAAAATTAGGGCCTTTTTTCGGGGTTCAATGTTATCAGACTTCCCCCCCCAAAAAAGGCATTGGCATGGAGGTCCCACTGTGACTGTATTTGTTATCAGACTTCCATGTCACAGGATGGGAAGTGTGAAGCTCCGAAACAACGAAGTTCGGCGTCGACGCTGTGGAGCCCGTCCGGTGGTCTCAGGCTGCGCGACGCCTGGCTCTCGCTTCAGCTGGCTGGGTCTTCTTTCGATGCCCAGGGTGGACTCATAGTGGTCTGGACCTATTCTTGGTGGTTTGATAAAAATAGCGGGAATATCCCCAAGCTTAAGTGTTCAACTGAATATGTTTGTGTAATACATATAAGTTATATCAGTAAAAAGCACCTTGCACTGACCCCTCTATTCCCCTTCGGTTGGACCTCACTGGGGTCGACCCTCCATCCCGGGGTCAAAATGTTTGGCGAGCAGGAGATGGACGAAGTGGCCGCGTGGATATGCGCTGTGCATCTTCAGTGAGGGCAACTGCATCAGGCCAAGAAGATGCGACACCAGGGGGGTAACGCGTCTTTCTTTGGGGTGGTTGCAGGGGTCAATCAATGTAATGTATATAAATACATAATATATATATATATATATTAGTGGAGTGTTTGGCTTAGGGGTTCTGGCTTGAGTCTCCCAAGACCATATTCTTTGACACCGATTTGTGCATGGTCTCCATTGGTCTCCATTGGTGGGTCGCACAGTTATCATAGGTCGCACTGCGGTCTCTGGTGGTGTCCAGAATCCACCTCTCTTAGGTCGGCTCCTAACGTCCTGGACGTCTTGTTGGAAGGTCCTGGGACGTCCTTTTTGGATGAACAAATACCCTGCAACCAGGGAACCGGCTCAGGCCTGGTGACCGAAGCAAACAGGGGATCAACCCAAAAATCACTGGGCCGGATGATCCAAGAACATATTGTAGACATGGCCTATACCAGGACCGACACCAAGAAGTGTCTATAAATAGCCTCTTAGAGCTGATTCCGGGTGTACCAAAAACCACTGGACTTGGTTTCGGTCCTGGTATATAAACAGTCGACCACCAATGACCGTCCTGAGCTTGCGGCCGCGCTCCAGGAGGGTGTGCAAGGGCATCCTGTCCTTTGAGGCTGAGAAACGACCATTTCGCTCAAGAACGGGTTGAATTTGAATTGGCTTTGGAAGGGAACATGAAAACAGGAAACATCCAGGAAAACATTGAACCACATCATGAAGAACATAACACAATAAAAGGCACTCCAAACACCATGGGTGTCCTGTAGATCTTTGTCTGGAACCAACTCTGGGAAAGCTGCATTTCACCTCGAGAGCCATAGCCGTCATAGCCGTTGCTTTTAAACGAAGGCACTCACAGCCAAAAACATCTCCAAACATCCCCAAATGAACTTGTGTTGTTGGAGCCTCTTTGTGACCTGGACCAGGACCACCAGCGAACATAATATGCTCAAACTTCCTATCAAAACAGAAGTCTAGGTTCTTCTACTTGTGTTCTTGCCCTGACATTTTTGACTTGGACATTTGCATCTATCGAGTTCTTCCCCCCCAAAAAGGTTCTTCGAAAACGACAAACATTCGACCCCGCGGGTAGAGGAATTCCATTGTCGCAACTGATGGGACTGGCGCTGCGTTTACTGTAAAACCGAAGCCAACAAAGACCCATCGTTGAGCCACCCAGGCACTGGGCAGAGGTGCTTAAAGGCACCAGCGCTGCAAAAGAGATTCCACAAGATCCCAAAGTCATCGCCTCCTTCCAGCACCACGGAAAGGGTGTCCATTCATAGCCCCTTAGCCCTTAGAGGTCAAGGGGTGTCCATTAACCACCCCGACTGGGGGTCCAGGTTCACTCGTTTTTTGCACTTCTTCAGCTGTTGCTCTCACTGGGCCTCTTGCCTTGCCTGAAGACGTTAGAAACCGACCGGGCTCGACCCTTGGGCCTCCAGGTGCAAATCCAGGGCGACTCCTTCAAGGCGAGCGCCGGAAGCGCACTCCAACGCGGTGAGTTTTGGCTTCGCACCAGGTGGGTCGGACATTCAACAGATTCAGGTCATCTATAGAAGACCGTTGTTTAACACAGTGAACACAGATAGATTCCCAGGGTAGCATAGAATCACTATAGATCTCCATGTCTCCAGCGAAATTGTGGCTCAATCTACCTTCGGTATATGGAACATGGGCGAGTTCTCTCGGACGCCCGGACGAACGCATCGAGGGTCACTGTCAGGGGGTTCCTGTTTGGCATATCAGTAGTCAGGGTGGTGCCGGCTCCGAACGGAGGGCTGCGTTGAGGGCCGTGTTCGATGAAGATCGACACTGAGAAAGCACCACATGGAACTCCTGAAGGTCCAGTCTACTTTTGGCGGAATCAACCGCCAGCCTTGGACGAAGCCGCTTAGCCAGACATGCCATTCCAAGTCAACCGACCTACCCAGATATAGACTACTAGATAGACTATAAGGTCCTAAATGGCACATGTGGAACCAGCCTGAACCACTCTTTTGGGTGTCCGGAGATCCCGGAGAGTAGTGGGCCGGACTACCTCCAACAAGGACACCCAAATGGTCGGATGGTCCTGGAGGTTCTCCGCCCTTCCATGTCTCCTTCCGAGCGCCCGGCGCGGCGCCTGCTGACAGGTCTTTGATAACATGATCCTCCTGTGTATTCTGGTCTCCTGTATTGGCATGGCCAGGACCCTCAGGGTGGATGTTGGTGTGTGTCAGGAAAATCCCCCAGAGAGGTCGAGTGACCTGTATATATACATATAGCACCACAGCTCTGGGTTTAGGTTTAGGTATTGGATTTGATAGAGCTCTTCAACCTGTGCCATCGATTCCAAAGAAACGCCGCCCTCGCCCGCCCTCGTAGACCCCGCCCCTCAGACCATCACACCGCTCCGGAATCGGTGGTCCCATCGGTGTAGCGTGCCAATCCCAGACACGACCTGTCTGGGACTGCCATAGGACTGCCGATCAGTTGGGGTGGTTGACTGGGGGGGTCTTTCTGGGGCGGCAGTCCTATGGCAGTCCCATTCGTCGTGTCTGGGAATGGTGGTTTTGTGCCCCACCAAAGTCACCGACACCCACAACACGACCACAGCACGACTGCGCGAAAGCGGCGTTGTACTATTCACTTCGTTCCTTTTTGAAGTCAAGACGCCATCATGGGAAACACGGTGAATGAAAGGAAAGCGCACCAGATGTGGCCAGCAAAAACCAAACCAATATATACCAATATGTTTTCAACCGCATGCTGAGCTGCGACACTTGCACAAAGAATTCGACGTTGGGTGAAATAGTCTTCTTGGCCTGAACTCATCTTCTTGCCTCCTTTGGTGGCCTTCTTCTAGCTAGTCTTGAGCCGAACAATACACCAATTTAAACATAATAACCAAACATCAAAACATTGTGATAATCAAGACCAAACAACTAGCGCCTTTGCCCATAGGGTCCAGGTACATCCATGCAGGTACCTCCTTTTCGGATGGTCGAACGGAGGTGAGTTCGTACTTCCAGAGAATGGTCGATCTGGGGCCTGGCAGGACCCTGGATCCTAAAAAAGGCTTTATCATCCTTGATCAAGCAGTTTCCAGGAGTCTTGCACCTCGTGTCGACCTCGGGTCGCTTTGAAGGAAGCTTTCTTCTTCCGAAGGAAACGACGACGTCGCCATCGGTTTCCGCTCCGCTGAGGCCATCGACTCTCCTTTGGCCGATCCCAAGGCCCCCATGACCCAGGCGGGGAGGTGAAACGGCGAGGACGGGCGAAGAAACCGGTGGTGTCGCTGTTCGAATGCTTAGGATGCACGGGGGGGATGTTTTTCTTGGTGTGTTTTGCGTGGGGGGGCGAAGTTGGTTTAGTATGAAACAATGATATACAGTAAATGTAGTATATATTATGATCATGTATGATCCATGATGATCCATCATATAGTTTCAAGATCAGGAGATGAATTTATTTTGATATATTCTTTGCAGGGGCTCCATAGGGTCCATGGTCTTTCTCGATGAGATTGGCTGAGGTCAAAGACTAGCATTTTGCACATGTTGGGTCAAGACCATGGGGTTCTCCTACTGCTCCAATTCCTTCCAAAGGAGGAAAAAAGAAACCCTTCGGCCGCCTTCGGCCTTCGGCGGATCAAACAACCCATGTCGGACCATGACCGCTCGCCGTTGGATCGGACGCGCGGCCCGGCCCGGTGAGTCGGCTTGCGCCTCCGACAGGTGATTCGTGGAGCCAACTACTTGCGCCTTGGCATCGTCGACATGGAACCAGTGAAGACTTGTTGGTGACCCTGAAGTGATGACGCGACGTTGAATATAACATCTTAGAATTGCAGGACCAGGAGATGGTATCTCCAAGGTTTCTCTTTCCCATGGTTTCTTTGTTTTTGAAAGGCCACTTGGCCCTTAGGTGATGGAGAGCAACTCCCAGATTCAGCTTCATTGAACTGTGACGGACGGACTCAGGTTCACCGCACTCTTTGGTGCAGAGATGGTCATCAAACTCATCGCGCTGGGCCTGGTCCGGGGCACCTGGAAACCCGTAACACGTGCGTTCACATCAAGACGTAGCGAACAAGTCGTGCTGCTATTGACATGAATTCGTAGAATCCTTTGGGAGTCTAAGCCGGATCAATCGATTTAGTACATGATCTTTGCAGCGACCGCCGCACACCGCGGTCGTCAAAGGCACGCCGCGGTCGTCGCTGATCGCGCGCCCGCCGCTCAAGCGCGCCCAGATTTGGAGCGAAGATGCCTATTTGAAGAACGGATGGAACATCCTGGACGGAGTGGTGGTGACTTGGAGATCAAAGGAATCAAGACACATGGGCGGCATATGGGCAGCTTATGTTCTAAATCAAAAATACGGAGGTAAAAAGCAGCTCAAACCATTTCACCCATCCAAAAAGCAGGACACGCTGCACCGTGTCCAGACATGGGCGTCCTTTACGTCTCCTGTCCTTCGATCGTCAACTCTGGGGATCGAATAATAAGAGACACCTGCACCCCTATAGGGCTCCAGTCGTACCTTCGTTTCGAAGGTGTTTGAGGTGGGTGCCAGGAGGGTCCAAATACCTTCTATTCTAGGGAAGTACTTGGAGCCCTAGGGGCACTGTTCATCCAGTTCCAAACAGGGCGGAAGAGGCCCTTCCACATAGACCGGAAGAAGCGCCAGATAGGGAGCGAGGCGAAACGCGCCACCGCTGAGCATCTTAAGGTGGCTCTGCTGACCCGAGAGCTTCGCGTCAGAGAGGGCGTGAGAGATCCACTTCAGTGACCGTTGGAGGGTTATATCCTCTTCGGGCTTGAGAAATGTGTCCAGGTCAGAAATGTCTTCGAAGAGGTGAAGACATGTACGTGAGGATATCCCAAGATGTTTGAGCTGGAATCAACACCGAATCAGCACCTTTAGTTCGCATCGAACAGCGTCTTTGGTTGGCATGACCCGAACAGCGCGAGTGTGGTGGCTGAAACCTTCTGAAGCTCCATGAGACAAGATAGGGATCCTAACTCATGGCCACCTGTCGGTGCTGTCAAGAATAATCATCAACAAATCAACAAATAACCCTTTGCTCCTAGTAGCTACTTGCTCCTAGTAGTACGGCAAGGAGCCCCTAGTAGCTTCCTTGTATGGCCAGGAGCCCCTAGTAGCGTCCATAAAATCTTCTTTTGGGATCAGGTCATCACAAGCGTGGTGGACCTCACCGTGGACAGTGGCACAGGCGGTGCCGGTTTGCATGGTGGATGGCCACATGCGACAAGATGCTGACATGGTTTGGATACTGGTCCTCGTAGATACCTGAGAAGCACATGTGGAAATTACTATATTCAGATTACATCCTTAATATGGTTTTGAAGATTAATATGGCCCGTTTTGAAATGTTGAACTGTTTTGAGGAATTCATGCACTGGTTGGCAATGTTCTTTGCATGGTGATAGAGGGGGCGGATTAGCTGATTACCCTTTTTGGGTGGGTTAGAGTTGGTTGGTTGGTTGGTTGGTTTGTTGGTTGGTTGGTTGGTTGGTTGGTTTGGTTGGTGTTTGGGCCACCATTTGAGAGAGCAACGCAGCTCTACTCGGAACGGAGTTTGGGTTGAGTTTTAAGTTGTCTCATTCGCAAGTAGCCCGATCAGATGAGGGGTATTGTTCACCTCCGCAACTATGATGCAATGGAAGGGCTGAGTGGGTGGTACGTTCGCCTGACTAGGTAACAACCGCCCGGCAAGTTCTACAGGATGAAACAAGAATCAGATTGATAGTAAGCTTCCTTAGCCTTGTATATAATGGTTTCGGTTCAACGCATTGTGTATGACTTATAACTTATAACCTACAATTACATGTGGAGTAGTTTTAGGGATTTGAGGGACACCTCAATTGGTTGCTTTAGATGCCTGTTGCTTGCCAAACCCTGACTCTTGACCCGTTTTTCCATGCAAACAACATCATTTGTACACCGGCGACTTCCCATGCAGCAACAAGTCTGGGGAAGTACTATTCTTGGACTTCCTCGGTGTTCGTTGACTTCTTCGCCTCCGTGTCGGCCGGACGACCTTTTCGGTGATGAAGTTGACCGGATTGAAACTAGGAAAGTAAAACATGAAATCTGTATAGCCATGCAGCAAGTTGAAAACGCACCATGCAAACAAAAGAAGCATTAAGACAAACAACGCAGCTTTACAATTGAATCTCAAGTGTGTAGAAAAAGCCATGAACAGCTTTCAACGTAACAGGCATCAACCCCAAAACAAAGCATGCGACCATGGTTTTCGACGGGCTGAAGTCGCAACTCAGAAATTCTATGCGCCCTTCTACAGCAAACATGTTTCTCCCTAGGGCTCCAAGTACTTCCTTAGAAGGTATTTGGACCCTGGCACCCACCCAAACACCTTCGAAACGAAGGTACGACTGGAGCCCTAGGGTCTTGGACGCTCAGTGCGTTTGCAGACCAGTCGTTGTCACCGGACGGACCGAAGCGTCCGACCGTGCGAGGCTTCTTGAAGGGCGTGCGAATCCTGCGCGCCTTCCGCCCCTTGCGGATCATCTCCAGGTTCGGTGGACGGTGGACGTGGTTCTGGGCACGGTGACAAGGTACATCACCGGGGGGGTTCTTCATCACGACCCCAAGACCCAAGACCCAAGTAGATGGCTAGATATAGATGGCTTTTTGAGCCGGCGCTGTAGAAAAAAAGGCCGGCCTGATACAGCCATAGATGGTCTTGCCAGATGGCTACAGGTTTTGGCTACGGATTCCGACCTGTCGGGCTCGACAGATCTGTTCGAGGAAACACGATGGGTGTGCAATCTACAAGTAAAACAAAGGCCCGGGGTAGCTGAAGAGCTAATCATCAGTTCTCCTTGCGCTAAAGCAAACAATGTATTACAATGTCGTTCAAATGACAATCTTTCAAATGGCCGTTGGGGATCAACAAATCATAAAAAGTCTACAATGAGTTGGGGATCTGAAATGGGTGTGCAATCTACAAATGACAATTTTCAACCTGGTCTTTGACCTATAGAGCTATAGGAGGTCAACAAGGTAGGTATAGGCTTTCCATTTTCCTGACCCCCCCTTGCCACCCCCCTTTTCCAACCCTATGAATCAATGTAGCTCAGGGTCCTCAGCTAGGCAAGACAATACAAAACTGTTGAAATGCCGAGCGCGAGGTTTTTAGTCTTTTGGGGTGCCCTCACCAACAGGTCTCCAGGTTTTGGCTTTCGAAGACTTTCGACAGACGCAGGTGGTGACTGTTCGAGGGTGCAGGAGTAGCTTGTTACTATAGTGGCCTCCAACAGATTTCTTCACCCCTCACCGCCCTGCGTCCCATCACTCTCATCACTGCGGCTTCGACTGCCAGGAACCAGAACCTGCGGGTGGTGGTCCGGAATCACAACGCCACGTCGGGGGGTCGGTCGGTGGGTCGGGTCAAAGGCCACAACTGGTTGGACTCGATCAACCAGCCCTTCGTATACAGGACTCTCTTCGATTCATGTAGACTCGATCTCTTCAACCAACCCCCCTCATAACCTCATCACCCCCGTATTTGGATGGAAGAACCTCTTCAAATGGGTGACCGGGTGACCTGATGCTGCCGAGGCTCAGACCATTTTTGCATCCTTGCAGGATCTCTTCAGTCTGATGGCGTGGCTCCTAAGACGTGAAGATGAAAACAGATCGCCGGCACCGATGGATGGGACAGGTGGCAGAGGAGAGCCTATCAACAAATAACAGATTGGGGGGCATTGGGGACACCCCACTCAACAAAAACAGACAAAGCACTGTTGCCTTGTCGTTTCCAGGGACCTTTGGCCCCCTCAATTTAGGCAGATGAGTGAATTCGTTTGAGTTGTCCCTCGTTTCTTTGACTCTGCGCTTCCCTGGCCTTGGCGTTGCGTGGAATTCGACCGCTGACCACATGCGTCTAGGTAAGTCTTAGAGTCTTAGTTTGGTATGAAGGTTCCCGCCCTGAATGTATATATCCCTAGGGCTCCAAGTACTTTCTTAGAAGGTATTTGGACCCTCCAAACCCACCTCAAGCACCTTCTTAGAAGGTACTTGGAGCCCTAGGGTATACATTGTTAAAGGACCGAAGGAGATTCACTGTGAACAAACATGCAAATCCGAAGCCTTCACCATCCAGCTAAGCAGCTCGGGCCGCCAGCAGCTCCTATAGTTTAGTCTTGAGTCCGTTTTTGAATGGTCTTCTCGGGACAAAATAGATTGGGATGTGAGGGGTGTCACCCCTTCTTCATGGGTGTTAGATGGGTTAGATTTAAGTACTCTGAACAGACGGCATTGCTTAGTAAAAAAAAAAAGATAGTCCCTCTTCGGTCAACTTGTTTGCTCCGAGCTCTTCGGACCACCTGGGACCTCTTCTTTGCGACACCACTGTCGCTTGGTGTCGCCTGGTCCTTGTCTTTCGATCGCTTCCAGGTCGTGGCCCTGCTCTTCTTGCTGATTTTTGCGCTCTTTGCTTGTAGCTTCCTCTCTGGAAGGAGCACAGTGTAGCTGTGGACCGCGCGGTTGAACCAAGCGATATAAGCCGTTGAGAATTGGGTGATCAAAGATCAGCAGTGCACTGCCCAGAGATGTTAACCTTGCAAGAGTTCAAATTCAACGCACTTTGCCTCTTGCAATAGTCCTTGTTTGGATTGCTTCTACTGGTACCCCGGCCCATCATCATGGCTGTTTCATGTTGTTCCCGTGTGCCTGGGTTGGTTGAGACCGTCATGACTCCTTCATGTTCAGATAAACAGGTGTTGTTGTCTTGCAATGAACCCTATAGCTCCTGGACCACCTCCTGAGGTTCGATGGTTGGGGTGGATGCCAGGGGGGTCTAATCACCGAACGTGAGGAGATGGTTGGAGCCCTGAGGCAAGATGAGTTGATGCTTTAGCAGCCACCAATTCATGGCGACCACGCACACCGCTGCATAACCGCGTGCCCGGCATGCCCTGCGATTCGACACATCAGGACCAGACACATGACCCATGTCATCCTGCCCTGGAAACAGGTGGACATCATGAACAATTCAGGTCTTCATCCATCCAAACCATGTTTTCACGGGAAAGAAAAGCAAACACATGATTTTGAGTGGTTTCGCGAGGCCCCTTCCCGCCTCTTCCACTGCTGTCACCCCCACTTGCGTTCAGAAAAGACAAGCTCGGCTTCAGGATGTACCACTGCGAGACAGAGGAATCCATCCTCTTGCAGGGCGACCAAGGGGTTTGATCTGAGAAGGTCTCCCAGGCTTCCAGTCACCATCAGTCACCGCCCCTTCTTCAGAAGCTTGGACCGCGAGTTCGGTATCTTTTCAAGGCAGTTAGGAGTTTTTTTCGAGGGCGAGGGGTCTCGAAGATCGCAGAAAAGCCGTGGGCGGTGCGAACCTTTCGTCCTCTTGGTCCGCTCGGGGCGAGCGGTGGAGCATGCTGGAGCCATGTCCCTTGAAGCAAGACTTTCGGTGGGGGGTGAAGTTTGAAGCAAGACTTACTTCCATATTAATATGGATTCATGTGTCTTGAAACAAAGGAAACGGTCACCTCTTGGCAGAAAGTTGGACTGGTGGTTAACTCACCGCCAGAAGAGTGAATCCCAGCTGTCCAATTTGCAGAGTCACCTGGGATGGACGGGGCGCTGAAGCTACTGGGTGGTGAGACCTCAGAGATTGTTGTATGTTCAACCATGTTCAACCATGTTCAACCTGTACTTTACTTAGGATGCCAGTATGATTGGAACCCACGGACTCATATGTCGTGAATTGAAACCACCAACCAGAATAGGTCTTGTCCTATCATGTCTTATCTACCATGAACGTTCAGAGAACGATGAAAGGTCTGAGCCCCTGCTTGGACTTGGGCAGTCTTTCTATTTTTTTAAATATTTTTGTACTACAGTCGTGCGGGGTGAACTAGCGCACGAGTCAGAAGTGGGCCTCTTGATCGATCTATAGATTGGGACCTTCAAGTTGGGGTGGTTCAATGGAGATCCACCAGTGGTGACTCTTTGAGAATGCTGGCCGTGTCCAATCCAATAGGTCTTGTCTATTTGATAGGTCCTTCCGGGTCTTCCATTCAACACCAACCCCTTAAGCACTCTTTTTGGTTTAGTTACTACTGTACTTCTCTCTCCCTGGCCTTCAGGATCCTTAAGGTCTACTTTCTGCTCGGCTTTCTTAACCTGAACTGGCCTTTCTGGATATACAGTATACATCAGTATACACTATAGCCTATAGATGCCCACCAGGAGCCTGTCTGGGTGTCCCATTTTCACTACCCCTGCGGACTTCAGTCCCCCTGCCCTGCCCTTGCTGTACTTGTACTATCCAGGATGGTCCAGCACGGTCCACACACAGAATGGGTCGGATGCTCCAGGACACCCGGACGCTTCGTTGCTTCTTTGCTCCCGACTTCACCGAGACCCCACGGCGCGGTCTCGACTTCCGCCACCGCGACCGGAGGCTCCGAGACGCGGGAGACTTCCGGACGCCGCTCTGCCTGGGCAGGGGGCGCTCAGGGGTGCCAGGAGGTGTTTTTTTTTTTTTTTTTTTTCGGATGGAATCCATGGAGATGCCTAGGCCTAGACTCACTGGTATGAGGTATTGAGATGTTTCAGAGATTCTTCGATGTTTAAATGTTGAGTTACTTTTGTTACTTGGGAGGATTGAACCCACTGACCCAATCTGACCCCAATAAAAGTTTTGTAAGTTTACACTACCAACCAGAGATACTTTGTAAGTCAGCAGAAAACACTTGGGCGGCAGTGGGCGAATTTGGATTGATTTGCTTTTGCACTTTTTGAGCCACGGCTTAAATTGTTACGCAATAGCTGGATCAGGTTTGAAGAAACATGTGAGACGGATGGCCTGGAGCTGGTTTTGAGGTTGCGGCTATACCGAAATGTGTGAGTCAAACAACATATATATTATATTATATTATACATTAGTAATACATTTTACAAATTATGTTCAGTGAATTTACTTAGGTTTATGTGATCAATGGCTTTTGCGGGGCTTAATGCCCAGTTGGTTCGTGCAGAGCAGAGAAACATGTCTCAAGTTCTTCGATTTCCCCTCTTCAAACATGGGTACATGACAGTAACATGTATAACATGTACCTTTGGGTCCTGCACTCAGTGTTTTGCTTTTTCTCAGGATGATCCCTTCAGGGAGCCAGCTATAACCTCACAAAGGTAGTCACAAAGGTATATCACTGTTCCCGAAATGGGGTCTAGATCTGGTAGGGTTTAGAATAGACACCCTCAACATTAGTAGGACCCTGAACATGAAAAAACACTTTTGAAAAACAAAAAACGTTGCAAATTGTTGCTTCCTTTTCGTTGATTTTCCCGTTCTCACCATCGAAGCTCTTTCTTCACGCGTTTCGCGTCATATCGCGCCAACCGAGGCGCGCCCAGCAACCCGCAGAGCGTCGCGTTGAGCTCCTGCCCGAACGGCGCTCGGGACCCGAACAACACCAACGCCGGGAGCTCAGTCACGACAGCGGGTGGAAGGCCTCGTTCGGGGGGTGGTTGGGGCTGATAGAGATTTTTGTTGTTGGGAGGAAGTAGGCGAAGTTTCTTTTTGGGGAGCATTTATACTTATATTGTATAAAGGATGCGGGTTCAATGTGTCTACTATAACCACTGCTTTTCGTGACTGACATGAAGGATCAGATTCCCTCCCCTCCCCCCTCCGTGTCCTTGGCCTTCAATCGGAGTGTGTGGTTCGTGTTCGGATGGTCCAAATGAAATGGTTCCGCGTTTCGCACATCGGATTGGACTGGCAAAGAAGCTCATGCCGTTCATGGTCGCTGGTTCCGCATTTTCTGTGGAGGATTGTATAGCATGACATGGATGATTCTGGATGATTCAGATTCTGATGCTTCAGTGACACCACCGAATGAACAAACACCAGCACAGAGCCTTCGGCAACGGGTGTCCGGGGGGTGGAGAGATCGCAAGTGCGCTGGGGTATAGATTAATATATGGTGGTTTGCTGCAGGGATCAGGAACAGATTTGTTGGGGCCTTATCGTTTGTAATTGAAAACATGTAATGAAACCTTGCATGTTCCTGTACAACATTAAACCTGTAAGATGCGCTTGGTATTGGCCAAAACGCCCGTTTGTTCGCTGTTCGCCCCCATATCATGCCATGGATGCCATTTCCAGACTTCATGGGACCGGAAGATGTGCCGGAACCTCTCACCCTTGAATAGTTGTAGGCAGAATCTGTACATAAACAATTGATAGCCCCAGTGCTAGCCCCATGGATTGTTTATTTGGTTCCAAACCAAGCAGTCTAACCTGCATGTTCGCGACTGCGCGGGTGCTGTTGGCTAGCCCTTTCTGCTGATGCATCATCCCTGTCACCTGCATTCTCCACCATAAGGGCCACGAATGTGGGCCACGCCTATATGGGTGTGTGTGTATGTTTTTGGGGAGAGAACCTGGCCCTACGACCTGGGTCAACTGGTCCTTCCCTACCAACCAGGTGGTCGAACTGAGAGGTCGTCTCCGGACTCCTAACCTCACCCCACGTGAGGCATGGGTGGAGAATGGCTGCAGCAGCTGTGCAAGCACTCAGCTGTACGAGAGTTTTTCGTCTGTGACACGCTCCATGTGACTCGTAGATCCCAGACGCTCCATGGGACTGCCATAGGACTGCCGATCAGGCCAGGGGTGCTGCCAGGGGGGTCAATTGATCGGCAGGCATGGCAGTCCCATGGAGCATCTGGGGATGTTCAATGTTCCGAGCTGTTGTCACACTGTGCATTCCTTTCAGGGGTGCTTGTTTTTGCCATTGCTCTCAATGTCAGTTATGGTCCATAACATTGCTGGGGTGAATATATGATTACAATCTGGGGTATATATTCATGTTCCATTGGCATGGGGTGTTTGAGACTGATTTGATGGTGTGAATCTCGAGCATCGTGTGAGACTATGTTGTTCTGCAGGAGTCAACCTGGACTACGTACAAGACCAGGTTGACCCTTATGCATGTAGAGTAGATGCATGATTATGCATATTATATGAACATTTGTGGGTCACACACTGGAAGCACAAGATGGTTGCAAATTGTTGTAGGATCCCCATATCTCCCCATCAATGTGTCCCTTTCAACTTCTCACACATTGACTCAGTCGGACTGTGCCTAGACTCGATTCCCTGCTTTCCAGCCAGAGGCTGTGAATCCACAAATTAAACTAGCAAAGAGTACACCACCCAGACACGACCTATGGGACTGCCAGTCCGGACTGCCGAGTGGCACGGCCTTTTGGGTGGTTGACTGGGGGTCGACCTCTGGGGCGGCAGTCCGTCGCAGTCCCAGACTCGTCGAGTTTGGGCAGCACACTTCTGCCCAATGACGTCCGTCTCGCATGCCGAAGGAGATGCCTCCAGGGTCGGACCGGTTTCGGTTCTGGTGGATCGTTCGTACCGAGCCAAGGGTCGCCAAGGGTCTATGGTCTATGGCTTTGTGGAACCGCTGGTCATGGTACCTGGAAACCCCGAGAGCTTGGTCCGCACACCTCCACCGGGTCGGGGGCGCTCCGGACCCGCCAGGTGCGTCCGATCTCCATGTCTCGTGGTCCAGAGCTGCAGTTTCCGCGCCCAGTCGACGGCTCCGTCGTCGATCTGCTTCGATCGGACCGTGCGGTGCGGGCGATGTGGGCACACAACGGTCCCCAGGGTGGCACAAAACCTACGGTGTTGGGGGGGGATATTTGGGGAGCACTTTGGAGCGGGAGCCTATAGGGAGTCTTTCATTCACAGATGTGACGTTTATATCGTCCATTGACCCGAGCAAGCTGGCTGCCAAATAATTACAACGTCCAGGTTTTGTCAAGGGTTCCAGCCTCTCTAACTTTGTTCCGATTGCAGGTGCCTATACACCTACCCAGTCAGTGGATAAGCATGCAACCTGTACTTGGCATTGGTTTCCCCACTAAATCCAACAGGTGGACCTTTCTTTTTCCAGTTGGCAGTCAGTAGGGAGGTCAGCAGTGCAGCAGCCTCAACTCATCGGTCGCCGTGGATCGCTCCATCTCGATCGCTATAGGAGTGAATGTCCTTCATTCCGATGACATGATGATGACGTTGGACGTATTTTTGTCAGCCGAAAAAAGCTGCCCTGATCGCTCCTGAACAGGGTGCCCCGATCGCTCCGCCGAGGCCCTCGGAAGGTCTCGGGGGTGTCTCAAGGTGTTTTTCAGATGAGACCCGTCCCATGCCATCCTCTCTCCCACATCTCACCCAGTCGCCCCAGACTGAGAGCGGTCGCCCAGGTTGATACACCGATCTGCCTGGGACGTTGTGACCCAGAGACCACTCCGGAGACCTGGGGCAGAGTTGAGCGCGTCAACGCGCGCGGATTTGGAGGGTTCGGTGGAATCTCAGGATGGTGTTGCTGGTCATGCACTGAAAGCTGTCTCTTTGTGGTACCGTTTCTACTATCAGATCAGTGTTGTTCTTGTTCTTGTTCTTGTTCTTGTTCTTGTTGTTGTTGTTCCCCACATCTTAGTGTGGGGTTCTTCTTTTCTATTGTCTCATCCCGCTTCTCCCGCTTCGCTTCTCCCGCTCCTCCGCTCCTCCCACAGAGACACACACAGAGATCACACACCACTCATCACACACCACTCATCACACACCACTCA